GGGAAAAAAAAAAAAAATCTATTCCCTACCTGTGTGCAAAGAGGTATTTGCACCAAGAAGTAGCATACAGGGCTGTTCTTGGCAGGGACCTCACTTCAGTAGCTGGTCTCCTTCATTAATAATGACAGTAGTGGCAGCATTGTTTCAGCCATGGCCAATTAAAGTCTTACCTGCCTACCTAACAACACTAATAGTTAATATTTTATTCCTTTAGTGTTTCTTTTATGGCAGTATCCCCAAAACAAGGCCTTGGGAACTGCTTATGCATAATGTAAAGGCAAGTTTTCATGTGGGCTGCTTATCTCTGCTGGGGGTAATGAAGATGGTGAGAAGGGGATCTTTGAGTTCTTAGAACACCTACCCCTTTGCTAGGAGGTAGCAAGTAAGCCAATCTTGAGGTCTTTGCTGCAGGGTATTCCTCCTGTTGCTTCCCTGGGCTCGGTTTGGTTTGGTTTTGCAAAGGAGGGCAGTGGAGGCCTGACTCTTCCCACAGTTTCACCGTGCAGCAGGAGCAGGGCAGACCCCACACTGCTGCCTGTGCAGGTGCCCCATGCAACAGGGTCCAGGGCTGCTGCAGGGGTTCAGTGCCAGCATCTGCCCAGGTGGGAGCTGACCCAGTCTCCCCAGATCTCCCTTTTTTTTAGGGCAGAGCCACCCACCCTGGGTGCTGCTGGCTGCTTGGGAGAGGTATTTAGTTGTTTGTGTGGTGGTTTTCTGGAGGAATTGGAGGAGGGGAGTTTGTGACTCCTCTGAGACAGTGATGTAAAGCAGCCATCAATAGAGGAATGGGAATGGGCAGTCAGGGAAACCCACAGTGGCTCCAGGGGCTGTGAGTCAGAAGGGAGGGGGGGGCCCTCATTTCTGATGGATCACAGCAGGAAAGTGGAGTTGTTGTTCTGTTTGTCTCCATTAAAACACAGTTCTAAGTGTGATATGCAGCAGCTGTTTTGTGATGTTCCATCTCCTTTGTCTCCCGCAGTCATCTTGTTTGTTTTTCTTCCCTCTCTGTCTGGCTGTGCCTGTTCTCTCCTTTAAGAGACTGACTTCCCTCTGGCAGAGTTTGCTTTTTCTGGCCTTTGCATCTTTCAAGTGTTTCTCTTCCCTCTAGTTGTACTTTGTGAGCTTTTCTCCTTCCTCTGCTCTTAGCAGCTCAGTCCTGGCTCCATGGCCCCTTATCTGCTCTCTGGGGATAGTGACAATGTGAAGACCAATGATTCATGGAGTCAAGGTCTTCTGTGAGCACACCCGCTAACCTAGGACTTGTGGTTTATAAACAGAGAGGAATAAAAGAAAGAATCTAGAAGACGCTGAAGGTCTTCCCGCAGGGAACCAGGGTGACCCACCCATGGAGTAGAGAGCCAAGGACTGGAGCTGAAGGCTAGTGTGTCTGTGGCTTTCTGGGACCAAGGACAGGCAGGAGTGCTGTGCCTGTGTGTAGGCATGCTCACTTCTGCCCTGCCACAGGCACGGACTGGCCTCCTTGTAGCTCTGGCCTGTTGAGGAGGGCAGCTCTGCAAAGAAATGGATTGCAGCGGCAGAGCTGGTTAGCTGTCACCTGAGTCTTTTCTTGGGGTAATCCTTTGTTACTTGTAAGGTGTGAGTACTTGGTTTTGTATCTGTGGGCTGGGATTAGGCAAGCAGTCTGTGTTCTGTCAGAGAGGAACCTCTGATTTGCTGGCCCGAGGGATTCAGGCTGTACTCTTGCCTCTTTTTCTAGACCAGAAGAGCTGCAAACCAGTACCATTTCCATGCTGCCCTGAGGAGAATCTGCTGACGGTGGTCAGCCAGTGCTTAGCCACAGTGGCTTGTGGTAGCACCGAGTGTCCTGTGAGTCTCAGCAGTGACTAGATCAGCTGATGGCAGCGAGGAACACATGTGGAAGCCAGGAACTCTTTTTGCAACAATGAGATGCTGCACCCACCCACTGCTCAGGAGGTTGTTGGGTCTCTCGCCTCAGTGCACATCAGGGCAGTTGAGTCAACGTAAAGGTCCTGTCCTCGGTCCAAAGTGGTTATCGCTGAGAAGGAGCTGCAGTGCAAGACCTGGGCTCATGACTGCCACTGATGTGGCCAACTACTGGCACAAGGTGTTTGAGACAAATGGGATCCCTGAAGCACGAGAATCCAGTGAATATATCGTGTCGTTTGTTCTGGGAGCAAAAACAGTTAAGTAATAGGAAAAGAATAAGGTCTGTGTGTCTCTCTCTTTGTCATTTTGGTTGAATCCCTTACCTTTCTTTTTATCTCACTTACAGGAAGTAGAACAACTTTTCCTTCCTTAGATGGCAGGCAGGGTGAGGCATAGTTTATTAATGCTAGTGGGGTCTCTTAAATGCCTGCTTTCACAGAGAATGAAATGTAACCCATGACATATAGACCCATATTGTACCCTGATTGGCTTGGTGAAATGATTCTTAATTTTACCTGTTCTTCTGAGCCCCGAAAATTAGCAGAAGAACAATTCTAGATGTTTGGTTTTAAACATGCAGATAGGTTCTCCTAATCACTTGTGGTTTCCAGCAGTCCCAGGCATACGTGTTTGTCAGCATGCTGGGTCTCTGCGGAAGATACCCTTGAGGGGATGCAGAGGACACAAGTGGGCACATTTTAAAGTGACCCTGTCTTCAGTTTCAGAGCTTGGATTCCAGAAGCCTCCACACTCCACTTACAGCAGTGCAGCAGGAGCAAATCCAGCAGCTGAGCAACAAGCGACTAGAAAGGTAGGATCATCCTCCTACAGTTCCTTTGGAGGGTTTTCCTTCAGTCTTAATGCAGCCAGAAGAATGGTGGTAGAGAGAAGGCAGAAGACCATTAACGGCTGACATGTCATGTAACAGTGCTGTGTCTCCTGGTGACTCAAGTGATGGATATTTGCTGTTGTCAGGTAGAAAATCACCTGTCTGGGAGCAGAGAGGGTTTAAGGGATATTGCAGAGGAGCAGGAACCTGGCAATACTGACTGAGTTGGATATGTTTTCATTAAGCCCTTCTGTGCTTACAACATTTAGCCTTGTCCCCTTCTCTCTGATTCAGCACTCTCTTCAGCTGCCAGTCCTTTACTGGTCTGTGATGTTGCTGTGCTTTCCTTTCTAGGCTTTGCCTGCAGAGGGATTTCCCTGGTGTTTAGAGATATCCATGGCTGCTGTAGCTTTAGTCTCCATTTGGCCTCCATTTGCTTGCTCTGTGTGAGAGGTTCTCTAAGCGCAAAAGTCAAACGGGTTTGGTGTGAAGGAGCTCCCTGGAATCAGGCTGGGCCTGGGGAGTAGTGTGTGGGGAGAGGAAATATTTGGAAACTTGGATCATTTAGAAGGGTCAGAGATACTTGGGAATATGTTTGGAGTTAGCATCCTCCTGCTTGTTTATGTGAATGTAGTTATGATGTGGATCCTCATTTTGCTGTGTGGATTAATCCTGCCATGATTGTTGCAGAATAGGATGTGAGGCTTTCTTAGGGAGTCAGTGTGTTAACAGTTATTACTGTTTGTAGGATCTGAGTGTCTTCCCTGAAATTTTATTGCTGCTCTTGAGTCTTTTGTTAGGAGCTGAAATGCAAAATCCCCAGAGCTGTCTGACTTGCAAGTTGCTCTGTCTTAAGTGCTGTTAAGGTTGCAACAAATATCTGACATTCTACATGAAGAAATGAGGTATGGTGCCTCAGCAGCTGAAAACATGGCCTCAAAATTCATAGAATCATGGAATCGTGGAGATTGACAGGGACCTTTGGAAATCTACTCCACACCCCTGTCCCTACTCAAAGCAGAATCTACTAGAGCAAGTTGCTCAGAGCGATGCCCAATTCCTCTTTCAGTGTATCCAAAGATAGATACTATATGACCCCTCTGGATAGCCTGTTCCAGTGTTTGACCACCCTTACAGTGTTTAAAAAGAATTAAAAAAAAAAAAAAAAAAGAGGAGGGGTCTTAGGTTTAAATGGAATTTTCTGTATTCCAGTCTGTTCCCTTTGGCTGTCTTTTCACTGGATACCACTGAAAAGAGTGATTCTTTACTCCATCTCACCAGATACGTATAGTTATTGCTGAGATTTTTCCTCCCGTGCCCCACCCCAGCCTGAGCCTTCCCTTCTCAAGGCTAAACTGTCCCAGCTCTCAGTCTCTCTCCTTGTATGTCAGATGCTCCAATCCCTTAATCATCTTAATGGTTGCTTGTTGGACTTACCCCAGTATGTCCATGTCTTTCCTGTACTCCAGCGCTCCAGATGTTTCCTACCAGCGCTGAACGGTGTGGGGGGGATCCCCTCCCTTGACCTTCTGGCAACGCTCTGCCTAACACAACCCAGGAAGCCATTGGCCTTCTTTGCTGCAAGGGCACATTGCTGCCTTACGGTCAACTTGTCCACCCAATCCCCAGGGCCTTTTCTGCAGGGCCGCTGTCCAGCTGGTTGGCCCCCAGCCTGTACTGGTGCGTGGGGTTATTCCTCCCCAGTTTATAGGACTTCACATTACTCTTTGCTGAATTTCATGAGGTTCCTGTCAGCCCATTTCTCCTGAGGTCTCTCTGAAAAGTAGCACACCATCTGGTCTGTTAACTGCTCCTCCCAATTTTCTGTCATCTGCAGACATGCCAAGGGTGCTCTGTCCCGTCATCCAGATCATAAATGAAGATGTTATGCTGTATTGGCCCCGCTGTTGACCACAGGGATACTCCAGTAGTGATTAGCCTTCAGCTGGACTTTGTGCTGCTGAACACAGCCCTCTGAGCCTGCCGGTTCAGTCAATTTTCACTCCACCTCATTTATCTAATCCATACTTCATCAGCTTGTCCATGAGGATGTTATGGGAGACAGTATCTAAACCCTTAGGGGAGTCAAGATAAACAGTATTGATTACTCCTCATGCACCGAGCTAGTCATTGTGTCATGGATGGCTATCGGGTCGGTCAGGAATGATTCCCCTTTGTAAATCCATGCTAACTACTCCTAGTCACCTTCCTGCACTTAATATGTTGGGAAATGATCTCTAGGACTATTTGTTCCATCACTTTCCCCAGTATGGAGGTGAGGCTGACTGGCCCGTAGTTCCCCAGGTCCAATGCCTGATAACAAACTCTTTTGTGGGAATGGAGTTCCCACAGTTCCCTTAGAGTGCACGTGCAGCTGAGAGTCTTAGGGGTGTCTAGGTGCTCACCCTTAGAAGGGTTATGTGGTTAGTAATGAGGTAAGCATGGTATTGAGAGCTTTTCTGTGTTACAGAGTGTAGGCCTAAAGTGTTCACGCTTGCTTTTGCCTGCCACAGAATGCCAGTGCAGTACGTGCTTGGTGAATGGGACTTTCAGGACCTGACTCTGAAGATGAGACCCCCAGTATTTATTCCTCGGCCAGAAACAGAGGTATGAATATGGGGAACGTGGCAGGGGTGGGCTTGAATCTGTGAATTGCATCATACTATACAGTCATAGCATTGCTACGAAGGTGCCCGGTATATCGTGGGGTTGTGGTGATGAGGAGGTCAGATGACTCCACTCCTTGTAGAACAGTGGAGGATTCTAAGCTTGTGATCTGGAACTGATGCTGGTGAACTTTGCCTCCTGGCTCAGAGCAAGAGATGTTGCAAGCTAGCGTATCACTTCGTTACAGAGATCCATCTCCATTGATGGAAGGACTTGGCTTGCTTGCTTTATTTCTGCTATAGTAATGACTTCTAGAAGTTCAAAACCTATATTGCTGTATCCCAGTGGCTTAGTACTTTGATACAAGGATAAGAATCTCAAAGTTGTCCACAGGGTGTTAGCAAAGTTCTGCGGTAGTAGAAAGCTGCTACTGGAAAATGGTAATGGACTCCAGAGAGCTTGTTTGTCCATGTGCAGACTGAACTAGTGCATGCTGGTAGGAAATGGCACCTACCACCTGTCTGATGGCTCCACAGTGGTTTCTGGACAACCACTTTAATGGTAACAAAACAAATGCTGGAAACTGAAGGGTAAGTTCTGACCTAGTCTGGAATTAAATATGAATTTCAGTTGTAAGAATGTAGAGGACAGCCATACACGATCAAGTAAAAACTCCGTTTTCCCCAGTGTTCCTGCTGCTGGGGAAGAGCCTAAGAACCACATGGTGACACTTTCCCTGACAGTAGCTTAGCTTTCAGCTCATGGACCACCTTAGCGAGGAAGTCTTTCTGTTTACTAGACTCAGGAGGTTTTAGGTTTTGTGAGGGTTTTTTTGTGGTTTTGGGTTGGTTCCTTTTATTATTATTTTTTTCTTCTGAGAATTTGTTTTCTTTTGGAGCCTGTGTTAACTTTTGGAGATGAAGTGGTCTCCATAGCTTGTCCATTTAGGAGTCTCAGAAGCTTAAATCTGTTTCAGTCTAATAGTCATTTCTTCAATTGTTTGCCTGCTGCTTGGTGACTGTTGTAATGTGCTGGTGACCCTCAGCTCAGGTCTCTATAAGTAGAGGCCCAAGCTGTAGAAAGGATGAAAAGGCTTGCTCAGACAGAATGTCCCCTACTGACAACATCAGGAGAGGTGCCAAGGACTGAGTGGGCTTTGGAGATGGGAAGACCTCCTTTGCTTTTTCTGGGGAAGGGATAGTATTGGGAACATATGAAGAAAGCAACAGCTCACTAAAGAGAGGATGCAGTCTGCAGAATCCTTCATCTGACACCTTTTATTACACAAAAGTTAAAAGGCAAAGACAGCCTGTGCTTCCGTTGTGCCCTTTGAAGAAGAGGGTGCTATTGAAATCCATGAGAGGGTTCCAGACAATTTAGTGGGAATCGGCACAACTAGCACTTAAACATCCTCTCATCTCAGCCTATAGGAGAATATTCAGAACCAGAGTCTTGATTTGGTGTGGGGCAGCAGCAGCATCATCTCATTGAGACCCTGCTGGGCCCTAAATCATAGTGATGACACTTGTGTCCAGAGAGGGTGTGAGCTCTCTGTGTCTGGGTTTGATCACTCTGTGGCGATTAAGTTTGGAGATAGGACTCTAAGGAATAGTTTTGCCAGTTGGAGCCCAGCGATGGTTAGCTTTGTTATTGTCAACAGTATTTCTGCTCCGGTCGATTCAAGAGAGTATTTCCAGCCTCTAACTCCCCATTAATTTGTGGATGCAAAGTGAGCATTAAAACCAGGGAGAACTTGCATGTTCTGTAAGTCAAAACATCTGCTGGCAAGTCTTCCTCTGGTGCTGTGCTTTAATTCTCTCCATGCAGTGCCAGGCTTCAAACAAAGGCCTGTTGTGTGGAGTGGAAGCCAGGGTGGCTAATGCTTGAGAACGTTGTTAATTGTGCCCACATGTGTGATTTTGGTAAAAGCATCTCTGCTGGCCCAAACTGAAATGCAGTGCTGTGTAACACACTGTGTTTGAGACCACTTTAACATACCCTGGTGCAAAAATGTAGCATAAACAACCCAAACTTTGTGTCTACGGGAAAACTCTATTTGATGTGTCATACTATGAAGGCACGTTTTTGGCACATTAATTATGAAAGGCCAGAAATTTGTGATGATAGCTCAGGAATGGGGGTCTGGTGGCAACTCAGAGTTTTCTTGTGATCTGGTGCTGGGGAGGTTACTTGGACAGGAAGAGCATGGGGACAAGATCCACCTATTTAGCAGCACCTGGCAGAACATCGCTTTAAGGCATGTGTTGCTTCCAGGAGCCATGTACTGTGTGTAACCTGTTGCACAAAATGAGTTGGTGTCCAGATCCTTTCCTTCTGCTAGGAAGGAAAGGTTGGTTGTCTCTGACTCAGAGCTTGGTGCAGTGTGTTTGGGTTGGGGTTTGCCTATGGGTTTTTTTATCAGAGTAATTTTTCCAGATTTCACTGAACTTAAAAACTGTAGTGGAAATATCTGTCTGCAGCATTTTTAAAACCAATAGTGCTGAAACTTTTCACCATGTAATACCTGTAAATAATCCTTGTTCTTTAGGAAGCAGTTCGTTATCAACATTGATATCCCAGGTTCAAGCTGCTTATCTGTGACTGCACACACAATATGGCATGTCTTGTCCTGAGTAAATGTGACTCCCTAAATTGACTTGTTAGTGCAGACACAGAAGCAGCTGCAAAATTTGCTTCCTAGTTATATTTATGTAGCTTCTGTAAATGCTTCTGCTTGTTGATTCAAAGTCTGAAAAGAGGGGCCATCTTTATCACGCATATTTTATTCCGTGGTTACAACAGAAGGGTTATGACTCTTGTTCCCAGGCACGTTGGTAATGGCATGAAGGCAAACACAGTATGACATAAACCACCAGCATTGTTTCAGTCCTGGGGACAGAGACACATGCAAAGATAGAAGCTCAGTTGTCTACTTAATTTTGCCCTGTGTGAAATTTGCCCCTTTGTAGTCTATTTAGTTCTCTCTGGTAGCTGAGCCCTCTCCCATTAATTCCCTCTGGGAATATTTTTTCAGCACATGTGGCTTTGTTCTTCTGTTCCATGGGAATCTGGGTGAGGAGGGGACAGGCAGCTGAAATTAGGAAACTAGGAGGTCCTGTTTAAGCTCTGAGAGTGGGGTAACAAAGGTGATTGCATTCAGTTGTAACTTCTTGGTGTGGAGGGCTGATAGATACTTCTATAAGCGCAAACAGACTGTGTTGGAGGAGAGTTTTGTTAAGCAGTCCTCAGTTGCACTGTCCTCCACTTACCTTGCCCTCTGTGAGCAAAGCAAAGCTTTGGACTCACTGCTGCAAGCACTCAGTGGGTTTGCAAGGGCTTGCAGAACCCAGCATCCTGCCTGCTTTCCTCATGTGATCACCAGAGCCAGGTTTCTGCACTGCGGAGGTGTTTGGGCCAAAGTTTAGGGAGGTGCTCAGTCTTGTGAATTATCTTTGAAATGTGATTATTATTGTAATGTCAAGAAATCCCTGTCTCAACATTGCTCAGTCACTGTATTAATGGAGAAGAAAGTCCTTTTCCCAAAACAAGGCTTTCTAAAATTCAAGCTGTGTTACCTTCGCAGCATCATTGTGAATCAGAGGAAAAATAGATCAAAGAGAAGGAGAACTCAGCCAACCATGGATACGTAGTTCCTTTTTTTTGTACAGCCAAATGAAGCCTCACCATGACTGCATTAAGGAAAGGTTTAGTTTGGTCCAGGACTTCTCCAAAGGAGGTAGTTTGGGTTATGAGCTCACCAGTCTTTTACCCCTAGAGGGCACTCCAGGCTTAGGCTTGCAGAGTTCCTAATGGGTCTATTTCTGATCCACTCCTCTCTCATATGCTGTTTTAAAGCAAATGAAGGCATATTTGTTCAGTGGAAACAAAAATGGTCTCCTTTTATCCCTTGCAGCTACTGTGTGGGTAGAGTCAGATTCTTGGACACTGAGTTTTCGTTTTTGCTGGAGGAAAGCTACTGGGAGGAGAGCTCCAGTTCTGCTTGGGAGGATTGTCACAGTCCCACCATTCCCTCTGACTCTCAGGCCACCCAAGAGTCCCCTGGTGACACCTCCTTGACCTGTTGTAATCTCAGCACAAGATCCAACCCTACATGATTTTTTTTTCTGTCTTGGCTTTGTTGTGGTGGCTGTGTCATTGTCCTGTAAGGGGAGACACACACTGTAGGGTGAGGATGTG